TGCCAGTAGTTGAAATAGAGTATTTTAATGTATGTGTGGAGCCTCCTCTAATATGGAAGGAGGGCAGACCACAGAAAATAATAGAACCCTTTTTCTTTTCTGGTAACTGTGGAAAGGTATGGATAAACTGAACCTGAGATTGAATTATTTCTTACTCCACTAAGAAATTTCCAATAGAGAATTTTTTTGGCTTACAATTTGCTCTTGTTTTTATAGAGGTAAAATTCACATAACATAAAATTAACCATTTTAAAGCGTACAATTCAATGACTTTACTACTTTTACTTTGTGCTGCAGCCGTCTCTTCTGTCTAGGTCCAGAACATGCCATCACCCCAGAGGAGCCCCATGCCCCCAATGCTGTCACTCCCCATTAGCCCCTCCCCCGGTCCTTGGCCACCACTAATCTGTTTTCTGTCTGTATGGTTTCAACTCCTCGTATTCTTGAAATTTCATACAAATGGAATCATGCAGTATGTGACTTTCTGTGTCTGGCTTCGTTCCCTTAACATCTTTGAAGTTTGTCCACCTTGTAGTATGTATCAGTGCTTCGTTCCTCTTTATTGTTGAACGTTACTCTGTTGTGTTTATCCATTCATCCATTGAGGGACATTTGGATTTTTACCACCTTTTGGCTATTGTGAATAGTGCTGCTATGAACATTTGTGTACTTGTTTAAATATCGGTTTTCCGTTTTGGGGGGTATATGCCTAAAAAATAGAATTACTGGGTCCTAATGGAAATTCCATGTTTACCTTTTTGAGAAACCACCAAAATGTTTTCCACTGCAGCTGCACCATTTTACATTCCGACCAGCAATGTATGAAGGTTTTCTAAAGACCTTGTAGTTGTGCATTTTACATTGAAGATTTTGAGTAATTTTGAGTTAATTTCTGTATGAGATGAAAGGTTTAGATCAAAGGGGTTTTTTTTTTTTTTGGCTTTATGGATATCCGATTGCCTTGGTGAGAATGAGCAAAGCTGTTTCATGATTCTGATTTGTTCTTTAAAGACTTAATACCAACTGCTAGAGTTAGTTTATTTTTCCATTTTTACCCCCTGCACGATGCACATTAGGTCAAGGGTGGAGCTTTAAATCATTTTGCTGTTGAAAAGGCTCTGAAACATTTCTGAGCATGTTTTCCAAGCTTTTCATCCAGACATGAAAGCAGTGATCATGTGCCTCAAATGCTCATTTCTGAGAGAAAGTTTATCCTTTGGTATATTGAGATTTGTGCCCTGGACTCTAAAATAAGTAAAATTTATAAAATTAGAACTGGCATTGAGAATTCTTGTTGGAATTAGAAGTAGGCCCAGTTTGGAATTGTGCGAGAGCCTTAGTTTCACCTGTCTCACTGAATTGTGACTTGAACAAGTTGTATTCTTTTAACCTACTAAATACAGATAATAACTGATTAAATATTTATTTCCCCAAAATAATCACAGGGAATTTGCTTTTGAAACAGTCAAGTTTCAGTGGCGTGAACCAAAATCACTGAAGTTGTTCAGGCAAACAGGGAGTTAGGCATTGAGGACATTGTGGAGGGCCTGGAGCAGTGAAGGTCGGGCCTCCCTCCCCTGACTAAGCAGCCACCCCAGTTCAGGAAACTGGTCCTGCCCTGAGTACTGCAGTTGCTGCCATCACAGCCACTCCTCAAACCACAAAGCTGGTGTATAGGCAGTGGGATAGGGAGCCCGCTGGTGCGCCGTCATCAGGTTCCGGTAGGGCTTGTTTCCTACACTCGTGCAGAACAGTGGCCTCGGCCTTCCACATCTGTGTGTGCTTCTCACTGGTAGAATCTACACCATATCCACAACCCTGTCATAAGGGTGTCTGCAAATACAGCTTTTAGCCTTCGGTGGGGGTGGGGGTG